TTGCCCAGGCTGGAGTGCAATGGCACGATCTCTGCTCACTGCAACCTCCGCCTCCTGGGTTCAAGCGATTCTCCTGCCTCAGCCTCCCAAGTAACTGGGATTACAGGCGTGCACCACCACGCCTGGCTAATTTTGTATTTTTAGTAGAGACGGGGTTTCACCATGTTGGTCAGGCTAGTCTCAAACTGCTGACCTCAAGGGATCCACTTGCCTCAGCCTCCCAAAGTGGTGGGATTACAGTGTGAGCCACCACGCCTTGCCCTGCCCCCAATCTTGACTATTCTACTAATTCTAAAGAAAATCTTGGAATTTTACACTCTTAGAATCATAGTCATAGAATTTTTTTTTTTTTTTTTTTTTTTTTTTTTTTTTTTTTGAGACAGAGTCTCACTCTGTCGCCCAGGCTGGAGTGCAGTGGCCAGATCTCAGCTCACTGAAACCTCAGCCTCCTAAGTTCAAGCGATTCTCATACCTCGACCCCCCGAGTAGCTGAAATTCCAGGCTGTACTCACTGCTTTGCTCATATCCTCACTCATTACCAGGGACAGACCAGCACCCCTGCATTGCATCTCATATATCCACTGATGGGTAGAGAACAGACTGAAATTCAGTGTCTTAGAGATTGCACAGTGCACCCCCCTCATTGTGCAGATGGGAAAACTGAGAGCCATAGAAGGGAAACAGCTTGCCCAAAGCCATACTTACTGTTTTCCCCACACTTACTTTCACACTTTTTACCACAAACTTACTTTCACCATTCTTCAGGTTTGGAAAAATACTAATAAACTAATCAACTCTAAAGTATTCAGTGTTTATATGTTAAAGGTTTGTGTGTCACTTGTTACATGGGTCACTCTGATATCCACTGGGACAGTGTTTCAACACTAATGGTGGCATTCCAGGTACCTGTGAAATCTGGCAGTGAGGCCACCCTAAGGCTCCTGAATTCTACCTCATGTCTCACCATGTCTCACCACTTTGAATGGTGACATTCTCTCTCACCCTCTTTCTCCTCTCACCACCATGGCAGCAGAGGCCAGAAGGTGACTCCACAGCAGACCACACACACCCCTGTCCACTTCTACCCCCCAACCACCCCCATCCCTCTTCTGCCCAAGACTGTGAACCATGACTGTCCCTAGAATGGGATCCCATTTCTTTCTTCTCCTTCCTTAAACAAACAAACTGAATTTAAGGCAGTCTGCTAGCAAAACGTAGAGGCTGATGAAGTTTGTCTTTTTCCCCAGGTCCCCAGTTTGTTTGTTTCCTTTCTTGTCTTTCCTGTCCCCAAAGGTATGTATTTCTCCCTCCATTGCCTCCCTGTCCTTTCATAACTTTTTCAGTAAACTTTCTGATCATTTCATTCATCCTAATTATATAAATGGTTAACACACGCCCACTATAGCTTATCTCAGGAGTATCTGCATATTAACAAAAAGCCAAAGAGAGATAGGAAACCCCATTTCCCAGACTGCCTACTCTGTGCTAATCTCATGTAATCTCACTTAATGTAATCTCATGTTGTAATCTCACTTAATGCTCTCAACAGTTCTGAAGGTTAGGTATTAGAATCCTCATTTTACAGATGAGAAAATTGAGACACAGAACAAGGTCACGGGTAAGTATGTGAAGGGCCAAGATTTGAACCAGCCTCGTTCAGTGCTCCCTCCTGGAACACGGCCCTGTGCAAGAGCTGTGTCATCTTCGGTGTGGAGTTGGGCCTTTTCCGTGCCCTGTGAGCACCAACCCTACCTGTTACTTTACCCTTGATTACTGCTCCCACACTGCCTTATCTTGGTGCCTTTGTCCACCCTTTTACTCGACTGGCTTTTTTCCTGTCATTTCTACCCCAAATGGTCAGCTCAAAGGCACCTCCTCCAGGAAGTCTCGCACATCCTTCCAGCTCTCATTAATCACTCCCTTTCACGCATGGAGACCTCTTGGGCATTTTGTCCCACCGTGTTGCATTTCTTTCCTTCTCTTTGCATGTCCATTGCCCCCACTCGACTCTGGGTTCTTCATAGCAGGAACCACAACCCATTTGGCCCCATGGCCCGCAGTGCACTTGGCATATAAAACAGGTTTAGTTTTGGATGTTGAACTGAGTAAACGCCCAGCAGTGATGTGGCATGTCAGTCCCAAAGATGTGGTTCCATTACCAGGTCCACATGACCAAGGCTGGGGCCAGCTCTGCAGCCCAAGGACCCTTGCAGTCTGGAGCTCAGCCAAGGAACATGACCTTACTTCCTACCTCCTATCCAGCTTCACGCCAGTTCCCCAATTCTGTGATTGGGAAACTGAGGCCCAAAGAGCAGGGACTTGTCCAAACTGCCAGACTCATTGCATTAGTCCCTTCTTGCATGGCTACAAATATTTGAGACTGGGTAATTTATAAAGAAAAGAGGCTTAATTGACTCATTTTCCTCAGGCTGTACAGGAAGCATGATGCTGGCGTCTGCTCAGTTTCATGGGGGGCCTTAGGAAACTTTCAAATCATGGCAGAAGGTGAAGGGGAAGCAGGCACGTCTTACATGGCCAGAGCAGGAGCAAGAGAGAGGGGCGGGGATGCTACCTACTTTTAAACAACTAAATCTGGTGAGAACTCTATCATATCAACAGCACAAGGGGGATGGTGCTAAACCATTCATGAGAAATCTCCCCCACGATTCAATCACCTCCCACCAGGCCCCATCTCCAACATTGGGGGTTACAATTCCACATGAGATTTGGGTGAGGACACAGAGCCAAACCATATCACTCATGGTACAGCGCTGTCTGCCCTTTTAGGGGTGCCTGCTTCCGAAGTTCACTTCTGTCACATTCAGAAAGACTACAGGTTTTCCATTCGCTTACTCAACAGATGTTTACCAAGCGCTGATCAAGTGCCAAGCATACTGCCAAGCTCTGGAGCCACAGTGGGGAACAAAACAGACCCTGTCCTTGCCTTCAGGAGCTCACAGTCTAGGCCACGGTGAGCAAGTTATGCTAGGCTCTAGGGACCAGTGGGAAGCCTAAGAGAAGCTACTGAGGGTTTTAGCTGGCAACCCCAGTCCCTCTCCACACTGGCCATACTCATCCTGGGTTAGTGGCCTTTCCACAGCCCAGTGGAGAAGAGGGCATGGCTGTTCCCAGACCTTGGGATTTGGCCTATGGCTGCCGCCTTCAACAAGTCACTGCTAAGGCCAGGCCTTGCAGTCCCCAGGAACTGCAGCTTCAATGGATGAGTGATGTTTAAGTACAGCTTTGAGCCCTGTAGGACACCCCTGCCCACTGGGCCGCTGGGAGGATCAACTGTCAAACAGTGGAAGCAGCAGGAAGTCCTCGAGGGAGCCCTACAGAGTGAAAGCCTTAGTGACCCCATAATCAGAATAATGAAGATGAATCACACCTTGTTCTGCCTGCTCACTCCCTCTATGTCATGCCATCATCAGGCAGCCAGAAACTCCTGTTCAGACAGCAGGGGCAAGGCATGTTAAAGATCGTGAAAATGGATGAGATTTCTCAGTTACAGGTTTCTAGAGTCTCAGAGTTGGAAAGAACCTTAATCATAAGCTTTTTTGCACCCCCCACCCCCCATCTGGAGCAGACTCCTCTCTATAGTGAGTCTTCTGAAAGGAGGGTCTAGTCAACACTTGCATGCCTCTGGCAGACAAACAGCTCACTACCTCATGAAGGAATCATTTTTCAACAGATCTGAGTCTTCTGAGTTTGTCCTTCTATTGAGTTGAAATCCGTAATTTTCCTTGGTTCAAGTTCACCTTCTCAAGCCATATAGAACAGTCCCTAATAAGCAGAGTGACCTTGAACAAGTTACTTTCCCTCTGTTTTGGCACCTATTGCAGTGTTTGAGCTGTTCAGAGGGTGGCTGGCTACTCTGCCCGCAGCCAGGCTGAGCTCTGACCTGGCCACCCAGCCTGGAGCCTGCACAGAGTGGGTGCTAGAAGCTGAAAGCAGAACAGAATAGGGCTCCTCTCCATCCCTAGCCAGACCCCAAGGGAGCACCCTGTGTGGATGATGGTGGCTGGATGCCAAATGAAGTGAAATATCTCCTTTTCTCGGGCTGTTAACTTTTTTTCTTGTTTAAGGAAGGGGAGGATAATGACATTTAGCACTTTACAACTCAGCAGTAAAATGAGCAGATGGAAACAGATCCCCAGCACTGCGGGCATGCTTCCAGTGAGAAACCCTCCCCGGCTCCTGGGGCCGGAGTCTCTGGCGGGGCTTGCTGATGGGGTTAGAGACACAGCGGCTTCCCTCCTTCTCCCCAGTTCCTCCTCCCACACAGCACCCCAGGCTGCACAGCCGGCTGTACACCTGTTCTCACTTCCCACTTCCTTGCCTCTGCTCCCCCTGCTCCACTACCTAAGG